GTTCATAATTGACATTAATGAAGTTAGTTCTGACTTTGTGTTTAGATTTATTCACTCTAAGGAAAAGATGCTGTAAATCTTCAGAACAAGCATTTCCAGCGTATGTGGCATACTGTGTTAGCGTATCATACACAGCAAGTTATGGTTGCACTACACAGTCTTAACTAAAACACCAAACGTTAATTAGTGGCCAACTTCAATACATGAATGAGTTTTATCTCACAGCTACATTATGCAGCAATGTGAGCAATTCCATCACAGCTGATAAGAGTTTTTAGAACTTCCTTAGTTATTTGCATACCAATAAACCCAGGTAAATCTACAAGCCAGCATGAAGATACAGCATAATTTTTATCTAATACCAAAAATTCCTATTCAACTCCTGTTTGAGATGAATACTTAGCAAATACATGAACAACACATGTCAACAAAATGGAACCATTCTTCCCAAATCAAGCAAAAGTCATCTAATGAAAGCCTCTGTATTATCCATAAATACCAGAAAGGGGACAAAACACAGGACTGAGTCCCCACAAAATGTACTGAAATTTTACTTTACTAGGAAGTGGTTAACAATTAATAGATGCTAGACTCATTCCAAGTGTTATTTCACTGGTAAATTCCAAAACTGTAGAAATTCCCCAGCAGCTTCATATATCATTCCTAACTCTGCCTACATCTTTAAGTGTTTAAAGGAAGCAATCTGACTTCTATACTGAGATGACAAGATATCCAGCATCAGAGGGAATTCTGTAAAACTCAACCTTCACACACAAAAGCTGTGACAGTACAATAAGATGTTTATGGGCCCTTTCTACTGCTGATCTGCTTACCTGGGTCCAGTTACAGCGCGGTTCTGCTGAATACACGAATAGAGACAGCCAACATACATGCCACCCAATCACAGGAACCTTACACATTTTTCAGTTTCTACCATTTCTAAACTCCAACTTCTCATGCAAAACTGTTTGGTTTAGTAGTTTGAGCATGAACTGGCGGACACAGAAAACAAAATCAGAAGCCCCACCTTATGTCATAATATTCATTGTATCTGCTGGAAAATGTAGCAAAAACTAAAGCCGTCAGAAGCATGGAACAGCTTTGCAAAACAGGCAAATCAAGTCATGACATAGACCATGTGCAACATCAGCACAGTAGGAAAAAAGTAATATATTGCTAGCAGCTGCCATGACCATTGGCTGAGTAACAGAGAACTGTAATAATTGCAGGCAGACACACTAAGCATCTATGTACAAATACACACAGACTGAAGAGCTGAACAGGTTTCCATGTGTCATATGAAACAAGAGTAATCCAAACTCACAAAGCCCTATTTTGCCTGCCTATAGAGAGGTAATGCAGACCTCAAAACACGAAGAACAGTATGAGCTGTTACTTCAATACTGATATGCAATGCACAGAAGGGAAAATGCATCACACTACATGCAGTTTTATCTACAAAAGAGTATGTATCTCACAAACCCAAAGTAAATAAACCTTAAATTGCAGCAAGCTGTAAAACAGAGAAGCAACTTAAAGGGCACATCTTTTACAGTAAATATAGAACTGGAGAGAACACTTGACTTTTCAGGCCAGCTCAAGTTTTCCAAAACATCACTGTATTATATACAGCATTATGGTGGTTCTTTAAATGGTTACAAACAGCAAATCAGAAACAGCACACATCTGACAGAAACCAGGCACACGACAGTGCAAAGGGGGTATTTCCAGAATATCACTAGACAGAGGAGCAACTTCAAGTAAGCCATGACTTATCAATTCACTAGCTACTTTTGGAGTCTGAATAGTCGAACAGGGATAACTACTGTAAGACATCTTCCATTTTCTTGTTATACATTGACCACATACACTTAATTTCTGCATTTTCAGATGCTGTTTCTCTACATTTTAATGAATTGCAACTTCTATTCAAATGCACATACTAGCTCACAGCAAGTGAGTCATTCACCACTTCCTGGCATAATAATATAGAAATGAAACTACTAAGCTGTATCTGCAGAAGTGAAATATGCACAAGTTTGTACAACATCCTGCTTAGTGGAAGATTAGTAAAGGCCATATCCATTACAAAATACATTTTAGCAGCTACACAAACAAGAATGTACTTCTAGTCTCTACAGACTGAAGGATAAAATGAAGTTATAATTACTGATTTAAGTCATATGTAAAAATAGGAACTGAAAGCTTCTGACTGGAAAAGAAGAGGTGGTATTAAAATCAGTCCTTTAGTTATCCTGTATGCATCTTTTAATTATTTGTTTCAGAAAGTTATCATAAGCAATCACAGACATTTAAAAATATTTGTATAAAATTACAAAATAATCCTTTCAGCAGGAGGCTGGACCAGACTACCTCTAAAAATCACATCCAACCAACATCCTCTGATCTTATAAAAATCCAAACCAAGTTTGTTCTGTAAATCACCTGCAACAAGTAAATAAAATAATTTCTTATTTTTCTCCAAAAAATACTATACATGTATACACACAACATGTATTTATATCACACATGTATGTCTTTTAAAACCTCCCAAAAGGTGAAGATAGCTCCATAATAAGAAATACTAGCCATAAAGCACTTAGATTCTAAAGAGTTAAAACATTTTCTCTCATTACTATTAGTCATGGGTAAGCCTAAAGAAGAAAGCCACAATTAAAGATACAGATGTTACAAAACTTGTAATATAAGCTATAAATTTTGGAGGAAAAACCCCAACAAACCCACAGAAGAGAAAAACCACTAAAGGACACTATGAAAGAATTAGTCAGATTGATCATGAACAGATAAATGCAATGTAATTACTGCCTTGGTGCTAGACAAGACTGAATAAATATTTAAGTAATGCTAAAGGAAAGTAAGCCATAATTTCATTCTGCTTTAAAAAAAGAAAAAAAAAAGCAGAATGACATTCATTTCTTACAATCATAAAGCAAATACTTCCTTTTCTCTTGGTAGGAAGAAACAATACACAGCTAGTGTTATTAACCATATCATGTCACAAGATCTGGAGAACTTGATTTCAGGTTGCTTCTTAAAGACAGCCTGCAACCCATAGAGAAGAACTTGGCTACTTGACACTTACTAAAAATACCAACATCTTTACAATGACCATCATGTAAAATTTTAAACTGGAAATGGATCAGGCCAGCAAGAATGACAGCAAGCTAAGCTGCTTTCTTTCCTGCTTAAGCTGCTACAGATTCATACCTTTAAGATTGCTTTGAAATGTGTTGAGTGAAATGGTGGGGAAGACAAACCTTTTCAAAAGAGCAATCAAAATATTTCATAATATTCAGTATCTGTCTTCCGTTAATTCTTTCAGACTACTGACAAGTAGTAAGCACATATGAAGTCTGACATGTTCTGAAAGGTAAGGTATGTTAATCCTCCTTTGCACATAAAGGGGGAATCTTAACAGGTTTAAGCAGTGATAACACAATGAAAACAAAATTAAATCAAATTTTGTGCTAAGGAAAGCACAGACTCAAAATGGTAAATACATAAAGGAGACCTTTTATTAGTAAAATTACTCTCAGTAGACATAAAGAGCTGTCACTTTAACAGGGCCTTGGGAAGAATGTGTGTTAAGTGTTTAGCTTGTAGAGTTAGTACTAGAAGAGCAACCTGGACTCTTTTATTAAAGCTACTGCAAAAATCTGTAAATAGGAATAATAGAAAAAGTAAAAAAAAAGAATAGATCTGCATACATCAGTAAAGTGAATGCATATAAACAGGTCTGAACTAACTGTAAACCAGTCAAATTGGATCAATAATCAATACACAGATGAATTTCAGTGTGGCACACTTTCTTTCCCACCCTAGAGATTAATTGTACTGATTTATGCAGTTCTGTTGTTGATATTGGGGGACACACCACAAAAAAATTCCACAAAAAAACCCCAAATAAAATCAAAATAAATCCCCACTACTGGTAAAACATTATCTTACTGTGAGCTGGAAACCTCTTTTCAAGATGAACCACTATATTTTGTTTAGGCGGTCTATAATATAAACAGTCAGATTTGCTATAGTTTGTTAAAAATACCTGTTTTGACCTAAAATACAATTTTATGAAGTGTTTGTCCACCTAGATGTAAAGATCTAGATTATCTGGCAGGTATTGGCCTCTGAATATTCCAGAAGTCAGACTGAGTTAATTAGCAATCCCATATTGTTCTGAAAATGTATTTTAAGGATACTTATCTACCTTGACACAAAAAGCCTTCCAGTTAAGGCAGTCAATATAGTTAACCAAGAAAAGAAACAAACATTATAACAAGCAAAAAAAAAATAAAAATTAAGAGCTCCAAATTTTGTTTTAAATGCCACCATTAATCTGTATTAATAACAGCTACTCCAGGTAGCTTATTGTTCACATTACACCAAGCAAAACAATAGTTAGGGAAAATAAAAGGAAACTACATTCCTCTCCAGTGCTGTAAGGTTATTGTGTTCACATAATGAAGACAAAAAAGCCCCAAAACCCCAAAGTAAACAACACTGTCTAGCCAGCAATGGCAAGGCTAAGCAAAAATCAATTCCCTAGGAGAATTCAGCTTAGTAACTAGACCATTGTAAGAATCCACAATTAAAACAGCATGGTAAGGGTTTGGGACTGGTTTTATTTCTTGTTACCACCTCAAGCCATGACAGAGAGGCTGCAGTAGTTCATATTACTCAATACAATGGAGCAGGTTTGATTTTATCACAAATAATAATTTTAAGATACAGCTCTAATTAATGAAGACCGCTGGTAACAAAACCCTAAAACCTCTATTTATAGATTTTGTAAAAGCTGTTTGGATTTGACACCCATTTCAGTAGATCTTCCAAGAGATTATGATGAAACACTTTTTCAGTTTTACAGGGCAAGAGTGAAGAAATAGGGAGGATGCTTAAGTATAGTTTTAATTTAAGTCATAGATACTAGACTCATTAACAAAATACAACAAGGTACTTCTGGTAGGTCATTTACTTACCTCCACTTGCTGATTCTTGCTCTTCCCCTTCAGGAAATGTAGCCTGGCTTGGTAAGCTATTCCTAGAACGAGTGACTGACTCTAAGTGTGAAGCCCTTCCCAACAGAGATAGCTCATCTAGCACCTCTCCTTCTTTGGCTTCCAAATCAGATTTTGAAGTGGTTAACTGTTTTATGTTACCTGGTGCCATTAAACTATTTGGGTCATTTAAACAAGCTACAGTACCACTGTCCAGGCTTAACACTCTGGCACGATTCTTGGCACTGTTTGTGCTAGAAGTCCGTCGTGTAGATCTTTTTTTGCTAATTCCTTCAGAGCTTACGTGGGTTTTGTGAGCATTTTCAGAGTCCGTGCCCCCACGGTCTTTAGAAATGTATTTGGTCTTTAAAGCACTGTATTTTCCCTCAGGAGACTGGCATGAATGGGAGGTGGTGCTGGAAGAGCTATCACTGCTGAACTGGTGAGCTGACTGCATGCTTGATGTCCTGCTCAAGTCACTTTGATCACTGGAGTCCTCATCGTGACAAAACACAGCACTGTGAGGTTTAGTACCAGATACACCTCGGAAGGAAACATATTCCCTGTGCCGACTTGAATCAAAACTACTAGCCCGCTTTTTTCCTGTCCTTCGCCGGCTGGACTTGTGAGTAGAGGCTGTTCGATGTATTAAACTAGAAGATTTTGGTCGAACATCTCCTTCTTTTTGTTTTCCACTAGTTTCTTTAGAAGCTCTCGAATCTACTAACACAGCTATTTTCTCACTCTGCTCATCTCTTTGTTCAGCAGCCTTCCCATGCGGCCTGTCAGCTTGTGTAGTCAATTCATTGGCATGTGGGTTCTTATTGGCCTCTTCTGAAGCAGAGGCACCAAGACCTTTCTGGTTGTGCATCTCATCAGACACATTAGAACCCTTTACCTCTTGAACACCACCCAGAGGACTCACTTCCACAGCAGTCCTTTCGCTACTAGTCCTTTTGTCAGTAGTAGAACTACTGTCATCCTCTGAGTCAACACCACAGTCTTTTTTCTTACCATCCTTTTTCTCTTCTCTAGGAGACTCCTCCTCGTGCTCTGACAATACACTTTCAATATGTGTTGAGCTAGTATGTTCACTTTTATAGCTACTGATGGTGCTGTTGGTGTCACGATCAGTCCCGCTGCAGTAGCTTTCTGTTGAACCACTGCTTCTAGTACTCAGGCTTCTCAGACTGTCCATACTTTTGTCTGCTTTCAAGGATTTGCTCTTCCCACTCTTAGTCAATGGTTGAGGGCTGCTACTTTTCAGAATATCATCTAATTGAAAAACTCCTGAAATGCAAGAGTTCTCACCCAAAGACTCTCGGGATCCAGAAGGGGGCTTGGAAGCTTCTAACTCACTGACAGGATCTAGTCCTCTTTTTTGCTGATAGAGGGGGAAGTCATTTAGTGAAGCATCTGGAAAAGCAACAGCAGAGCTAGAAGTCCTTGGTACACCTCGTGGTCTATGATCCTTCCTATAGGAGTGAGAATGCAGAGTTACCAGCGAAGCTACTTCTGTGTCACATGCACTGTTTTTAGACTGGTCCACAAGCTGGTTGTTCGAGAGGCACACTTTGTCACTGCTGTCCCTTGGCAAATCCTGTCCAGAGGACAATGAAGGTTGGATGGAGACAAATGAGTCATTTGACACCAGACGAAACAGCTTCCGATCAGTTGCCAAATCTGTATAAGTACATATTTAAAAATATTAATGCAGAATGTTCAAGTAAGTTACACAACTTGCTTTAAATCTGTTAGTTTATGTTGGACAAAGTAAATGAACTAAAAAATCCAATTGCAAGTACTATGAATTCATCAAATATTTTATAACATCAGGGAAAACCTGACAGGCTTTTTTTTAAATAAAAAAACAAATCAACAATATCAGCTTATCCCTAGCAAATAATAAGACAAGGTAATTCTGACAAGTCCCCAACCTCCTCTATTGCTTACGTGTCTCAGACTTAGTATTTTTACATATCCTGAAGTTTCTTAATTATAAAACAGTAAACTGCCTTTTGTTTTGATTCCCACATGCAGTAAACAAACTTTAAAGCTATTAGTGAAAACACAGTAAACCCCATTAACACTGAAGTCACCAAAAAACCAACAAAAATCACCTTTCCTACCCAAGTAAGCTCACAGTTAGCAAGGATGCAGTCACTGTCACAGGTCGTTTTGTACTATAATGAAACTCCCTATGAAGTCACTGAGTTTTACTACCTCTAAAAAAACACAAAAACAAAAGAGGTGGTTTTTGCTGTTCAAGCAAATCCTGAGGATTTACTGTTAGCACTCGGTTAAAACAATCATTCCTGTTACCCATCACAAGCAGTCTCCCGGAAAGTGTCCACCTGCAGGCAGTACTAAAAGTCAGTTTTCCCGTTTGCTTTTGTCACTAAAAATAGAAGATCTGGAGGCCAAGTTAAGTTACATTTCTACAGTTGCTAAATTTCTGTAGAGTATATTTGAACACGTGCAACTTAAAGAGACTTCACAGTCTCTTTATTCAGCTTTATTTATACATCATTCAGCTGAAAGTAGCAGAACCCTGTGGCCTATTACAACAGCATGGCCACCTGTGATGCTCCTTTTCAAACACACTTTCTGTACAGAATCACACAGTAGTGATTGAATCATCCATCTAATGGCTCTAATCACCCATTAGTGATTAGACTGGCAAAATGAAAGGTGGTATTCTCAGAGTTGACTTCCTCCTAATCACCAGGTACTTGAAAATCAGCAAACAAATATTTCCCTTTGGTTTTATGCTCTCTTTTAGTCTGAGCAGGTATTTTCCTGGCAATGAAGCTAAATGAAAATTTGTCCTGTTTTGTTTCAGAACACAAGCTAACAGTTTCCTCATAGATTAGAAAAAAACTTTAAAAAAAAAATTCACCAAGCTGATAACCTGTATCTTGGAAGCAGTCTATAGCTCTAAGAACATAGAGCTCTGTATGGTGTTATTTACCTTTTAAAAAAGCCTGCCACATTTAGATTTGTCTGTACTTGTAAGGAAAGCAAATTAGTCTACAATGAAGTCCATTATTTCCAGGCCACCTGTAGTCTAAGAGACACAGTCTACAGAAATGTTAAGTTACCTACCCCTATCTTTCAGCAGTAAGGTGACAGTAAATATTTATTACCTGAAGGAAGATGTCAGAACAAGGAACACACAGTCAAAGAATAAAGTTATCAGCAATCAAATTACACTTCTCAGAAGCCTGAGTAATTAAGAAAGGAAACAGGGAACTCCAAGATAGACTCCAAGAAAGGGTATCAACAAACTGCATGAATTTATTTAGCATATTAAGCAAAGGGTCTCTGGTAACAAAATACCATGTTTAAATATGGAGAAGAAATTTTACCTTGTTCTTCACTCCCTTCTTTACATAGGCTAGAACTCTGGCCAAGACTCAAACTGATATCATCAGAGGTCTTGGCCGTGTCAGTATCACCTGCAAATTTTAAGAAATAAGAGTATTAGTGCTCTAAGTATTAACATATACATCTACATTCTCAGTTGTCATGAAAGACTGTTGCTTGTATTTCTTCATCTAGAGGTAATTAACAATTACATAATCATAATAACACAAGATTTCTTTTAAGTAAAAGTATTGTCTACTCTTTCTTTCATCTTCCACAGAACTCAATGGTAAAAAAGATTTTTTTTCCACTTCAAAGCATATCTATTGGAATATTTCTTTTTGCATGGTTGTCTATAAAAAAAAGGAGGGTAGACTAAGAAAATACTTGTAATGATCAGAAAAGCAAGGAAAAAAAAATAAATCAAGGTGACAAAAATTGGCATACGATTTTTGTTTCAGCCTTATTATTGGCCGGATAAATTTGCAAGAAAATACTCATACTATGCAAAATTGTTATCTTTTCATCTTAGAGGAGTTCACAAGGGCTGAAAAATACTTTAGCTAGATGTCAAGCAACGAGAAGCAATAAAGTCAGTGATATACAATACCAGAAGGGTAATTGGTTGCACTGAACTCAAAACAGTGAGAAGTCTACCCCAACCAACCCTTTGGCTTTGCATTTTGCAGGCAAAGGGAAAATCTGTCATTACATGGGAAGTAGAATATAGCCCCAGAATATACTCTCCTCATGTTTTGGTCATATAATTTGCATGTCCAAATAAGACTTCCCCTAACTAGTAAATGCTGTATTTTGCTAAAAAAAAAATAAAAAATAAATCAAGATGACTAAGGCAGACAGTATTTGGAAACAACACAGTAAGCAATAGCGACTTGAAGTGTTTCTGCAAGGTAATTTAGGTAGCTAAAAATCTCACCTTTGATGGTTGCTGCTGTTCCCAGACGAGATAACCCAGATCCAACCTAGAAAGGGGTAATAATGTAAAAAGCTGTACACTTTCACAAAATAAACAATTGTTATTTCCTATTACACATGCATTTGCCTATACACGTAGAAGTGGTCTTTAAAGGCACAAAAGCATCCAGCAGCACAGTGCTTAAAATTCTGACTGTTTCCACTGCCAAGAGATGAAAAGTCATGAATGTAATTAAGCATCCAACTACATCACAACACTACTCTATTCAGAAGTCTGCACTCATGGAGACTTTACTATGCTGATTTTAAAAAGTTTCTAACCTAGGAATTCTCCTTACTTAATGTGGCAAGAAAGTACAAGTGCAGTGCTACGCTAATAACTGCTGTTGTAAAACTGAACATTTAATGCAGTGATCTTGGTTGTCTAAAATTCTTAAAGAAAACACAATCTTAGTATAAAACTTATCTGTTCAACAAGTGTCTTGCTGTCTGTAAACACCAAGCTAAATCCAAAAACTGCTCCCATGTGAAAAGATACATATTTTTCCAGTTAATTTCACATTCAATGGCAAACCAGAAGGCATGGTACCTGCTCATACAAAAAATTTCACTATTTAGGTTTGCAATCTACCCTTCCAAATATATCCTATAATGCACTGGAGATTACTTTGCAGACTTGCTAAAGAGAATTTGGTGTTTCCTTCAATTACATTTTCAATACAACCTCTCAACTATAAATAGCATACAACAGTGCAAGTGTCAGATAATTAAAACACTCAAAAATGAGATAGAGGAAGAACACTCAAATGCAAAATCTGAATCTATAACACATAAACATGATGGCCATTTGACTGATACATATATACTTACTGGGATGGTGTTTTCCAAAAATTCCTAGTTAAAATTCCTAGTATGCTCTGGGGGAAAGAGCATAGTTCTACTAGTTATTTTCTGTAAGCACAGCAATTTCAGGTAACCTGAAGATACGTGCAGATCCTATTGAGCCACAGCACAGAGGAACAACGGCTTTACGTGTAATGTGAAAAAGCAGCTAGGAGTTTGTTTAAAACATTTTCTTCACAATTGTCACACACACTTTTAGTTACTCATTTTATCATGCTTCAACATTTTTCCATTCAATAATATGTTTTCCTGAATGCTGTCACTGAACACAAATGCATCATCACAGAAAAGCTACTTCACAGAGAAAAACTGAACAGAACTCAGATGCTTACTGTTCATGTTCCATTTTGATGCTGCACATTCAACCACAGGGGACCAGTGAATACTAATTTTATTAGGACAAATACATTCTAAACACTATACTATCTTTCACAGTAGCTTGAACTTCTTCACACGATTTAATATTATAACTCTTATGTTTGGAACATATTTTTTCCAAAGACCAGTCAAAGAACTAGTCTGGGCATCATGTTTCTATCTTCCTACACGGACCATCGCTTCCTATTCCTTTGAACATCAGCAAATGCCTTCTTTCTTAAACAAAGAAAAATCTCTTAAGAGTATCTATACTGCATAACTGAGCATGATTCAGATAAAACACCAACATTGCATTTGTATACCATTGCACTTCCTCATCTACTGCTCGCTCAGAGCTAATTAGAAGAACCTGATATTGTAATACCATGCCAAGGACTTTCACGGCATTTGAAGACAAGTCCTGTGTCTTTACCATGATGCTGCATTGCTCATTATCAACATAACTGTATAGCCTGGGCAGTTAATCTACTTTTCCTCATGAAAGACTGATAAAAACTAGCCACAGCTAGCTAAATGCCACAAGCCAAACAAAAGGAACAGCACATCCAACGCTATGGAATCTGAACACAAACCTAGCAGACATAATACGGAAACAGAGCAACTTCTCCAGTGAAATTCAAGGCAACTAGAACATAATGAAGTTACATTAAAATGTAATAAAGCCATGTTCTTCACTTCCATCTGGCAGGAGTCCCTGTTTATTGCTTTCTTCCCAACCCTGCTGAACAATCTAGAAAGTGAAGATTTTGCAGAGGACATCCAAAAAATAAACAGTTTTACTTTTCCCGTTGCTAGAAGTTTATCTTTCTTTTTATTTTAGCAAATTAACTTTTTTGACCACAAAATCTGAACTATCAGGAATAGTAACCTGCAGAAAGCAAATTACAAGAGATAATCAGCAGTGAATACATTCTAAGGTAAGTTAACAGAAGCCTCCTCCAATACAGCATTGAAATTTACCAATTAAGCTTTAAATGGCAGAACAAACAGAAGTGAGGAAGACAAAGCTAGAACATAAGGATAAAGATACAATTTGAGCTATCTAATGGCTCACAGATACCCAAAGGAACAAGGGAATCCCACCACAGTGGGTTCTTAGTACTTAGCTCACCATACTCTGAGTCATTTTGATTTTTTTAAATCAGAAGAAAGCTAGCTGAGCAAACAGGAATACTTTCTGATGGGACAGTAGGTTCCTTTTCAAAATCCAGCCATTTCTAATTTACATACAAGATGGGATGAGAGCTATGCTGCTGCGAGGATGCAATGCCTTCCTAATAAAGCAGTTACACACAGAAAGGAAAATTGTTTAACCTAATACAAATACCAAAACACCCTGGAAAAGAATAGGAAGATGTTGTCTACAGACTGCAAAGCTAGCAATATTAAAGCAGCAACTGCAGTAGCTTTAATTCTTACCTGGTTGTTTGGATCTATCCCAGCATAAGAATTGCGTGAACTACAGCCAACAGGGGGAGTTGCTTCTCGTATGAACTCTGACATCTCAATCCCTCCACCAGGGTCACTGAGAGAAACATTAAAAAAAACCCAACATACATTATCCCACAAGTTAAACAAAAGTTTGTCTATGTTGAGTGCATATTCCAAACAAGTTCTCCCTTCTCAAAAATCAAGGGCTCACATATATCCCAGTATATTGGATGAACACTGGCTGTTTGACTCGGGAAGCTCAGTCTGAGCCGGAGCACTCTATACACGGTCATAGAAACTGCTGCCACAAGTCTGCTGTCACCAGCCAACACAAACTGTGACAACTTAGGTGCTTGAAAGGCATTCCAAAATGCTGACATATTAAATTACCCCTGTGTATATGTGCAGACATGTAACTTTTGGATCAGCTGTTCAACTATAACACCCAGAAATTCACCAATAGAAAAACATACTACATAGAACTCAGAGCATGGAAAGGTCTCCTGGTCTTTTCCTTAGATTGAATCTGGGAGCAAAAGCTAGGATGGCAAATGAAGAAAGCCATGTGTAAAAAAATCTGAACAGGCAGAGACATACAGGGCCATGGTGTCTCTCCCAGGGATGCAAATCACATCTTTCTACTCAAAAAGAACTTCCCTTCAGATATTTTACAGACCCTACCAAGAAATATTTTGAGGTACAACATATATATCATTGCATCCTAGTGATTTCACCCTTTCAGGATTAGTAACTATTGGCTTGAAAGTATTTCCGAGAGCAACATCATCAAACCGTAATTCAACAGAATTCAGCTTGTCAAAGGCAGATATTATATGAAACAAAAGCAAGTTGGATTCATCCATTAGGACAGTGGGGTCTGAAGTAAGCTGAGGACTAGAACACATGGGTCCAACCTAGCATTGATTGTTAATTGCAAAGAGGAAGCAGCTGAGGCACTCTTTCTATTCCATTATAGCCCTCTTCAAGCACCTTGATCCAGGAGACTTCGAACAGAAGTGCCGAGTAATTTGACACTGATCCTCTCTGCTTCTTCCCAAATACAAACAACAGCTTCCCAACAATCAAATTCCAGCATTTTGCTGAGCACTCCTCCAGCCAGACCAAATACACTGAAGACAAAGGCCCTCTGAAGGGGACAGAAATGGACAAAAGCACTGCTGGGCTTACTTAACAGATAATCTGTCTTATAGAAAAGTCTTACACAGTAAGAACAACACCTAATAGGGTGGCCTGCACAGAGCCAGGAGTTAGAATCAATGAACCTTATAGGCCTCTTCCATCTCAGCATATTCTGTAATTCTAATAATTTTTGAAATATATGGACATCACTTGAGGATATTGTAAACAAATTGTCTGTAAACTAAAGGACTTGACACGTGATTCATCCTGCAGCATGACATATCAAGCTGTTGTCATCTTGGAGAGGTGTAAAGGCACAACCTCAGGAATCACTCTAGAAAAGAAGCACATCATTTTTCTTACATCAGAGGTGAACAAAAAAAACCAGACAGTTTGAAGTTAGGAATACATTCTTTTAGCAAAAATAAGTTAAAAGACAACCAGCCGCTAGTTAGCAGAACAACTATGGTCCAACTCCAGCAAATTAAAAAAAGAAGTGAGAAGCCACCATTTTGTTACAGCTCAGCAATGAAACAGTCATACTCTTGGAGACAGCTGTTTACAGGGCCCTGTCTGGTCTAGTATTATCCAACACACTAAGGCAGGTAAGGAAAATTAATTTTAAAATATACACCACCAGCTTCAGCCAAAGTATTCCTTCTGTAAGCATTTTAAGAATATATAAGGACATAACATGAATTTAAAGATTAAACTGAAGAATTCTCACAATGTTTAAGTTCAGCATACATTATGATGACAACTGAAAATCTAACAGAGAATGCCTTTCACAAAAAGATGAAATTCCTTTCCTGTTTGAATAATTCATTGAGAAGCACTGCACGTGATTAAAGTACATGCTATGAAGTAGAAAAAAAACTCATTGCAAATAAGCTTTCATGCATAGAACCAGATAGCTAGCCAAAGAAGACAGCAATTTTGTCTAAAACTGAACCATCAGATATCAGCATAAGCAACAACAAAATCCATCACTGCCACTCTACTCACAGCTTCTATATTCTGTGATAGCACACACAAACCAATGGATGAACAAAAGCTAGTAACAAGCATCAGCAAATAAAGCCTGCAGGAAGAAGCAGGAAATACAGATTTCTAGGATTGACCATTCTATGCCTAAGTACCTGGACTTTAGCAACATCCAGAGTTCTTTACATTGAGACCTACTTGATGCCAGTGCTATGGCCATGCCCTCCTGATATGAAATTCTACAATCTGTTTCTTACAGTTTGCTGTCTTCATTCCTTAAACCAAGTGTTACACTCTTCAATTTGCAAACAAAATAACTGCAGTGAAGCTACTACACTAATCAAGAAGACTGAAAAAATTACACCCAGCAATGGAGATTGCTGTGAAAGAGGCACCCAAAGATGACACAAAGCAAATTAAAACTATTATTTCTAATTATTAGTAACTCTGAACTAAAGTTAGTATCTGCAGGTATATCTCATCAGCATGTCAAAGACTAACTAAAAGTATGAAGAGGCTGTAAGTCTACATGAATTCAAGCTGAAAATCTGACTTAGGCTGATTGACTAGAGAAATCTGACATTCAGACCAGAACTTCAAGAGGTCACCTGGAATAAGTTACTTTGATTTCTGCACAAAGCAGAGGAAGAATTTATTGTTTTCCTTTGAAAATCATCATCTGTCCTTAATGTCCAATAAAAGAGTAGGGTAACTAGTCAGGAGGCTGTCCTCAAAATACCTAAGAACCACTGCAGGAACTGCAAATGCTATCAGAGCAGATTCAAGTATTAACAGAAATTTTCTTCAAAATGGAGTCACTAATGATGGCCAAAAATAAAAACTAACTAACTCCAAACTCAAGAACAGGTCTGTCAGCCACAGAAAACTGCAAGGAGAATAAATAGCAAAGGCAAGGCAACAGTTTTAGACATCACCTTTTTAAAATTTTATTTTTCTTGCTCATATTTAAGTAGACTGTAAATACTTCAAAGATGCAACATTCTCCAGCTACTAGCTTTACTTGGTAGAAGTAAACATGAAATTTATGAAGGATCATTATTACAGGTCTCCCATGCTGATGGGGATAAGGAACAGCTGTGTCATCAGGTGAACACTTTATGATACTTTGAATCATAACAGCCACTGACAAGAAGCCATATTCATATATCCAAAATGAGGATTGACTTAAGCATTTTAAATCATTTATGTGGGTCCACTAATACCCAAAGATCATGCTTGTACTGCTTCTTCTGTATTTCTACAAGACCAGAAGCATATATTCCCTCTACTTGCTTTCATGAAACCTCACACAAACATTACTATACTAACACCTGAAGTATGAAAACAGCAACTCACATTCCTTTCTCTAAATTAAGACTTTCTTTCAAAAACATTAACTACAGAATTTCAGCTTTAGAAAGAGGACAGCAAAAAAAAATAACCAAGGCACTTCTAAAGGAATGGTAAATTGTTCTTTGCTTAAACATGCCAAAGTTTCATGGAAAGGAACCCTCATCCACAAACAAAGGTTAACTGAAGATAAATGAGCAGTTCAAGCAAGCTTACAAATGATAGCACATAATTTGTTAGATACCTGGAAGCATCACTTTGAGGATAAAAATCTTCAGGAAAAAAAAACCCCAGCAGTTCTTAGAAGTTAAACAGAATCCTGAACACAACCACTACTTAATCCTGCAAATATACTAAGATTTGTATCTAAAGTGGTCTCTGTGAGTGCATATGTGGCAGAGTGAAAATTCTAGGATGGCTTTGCAAACTATACTATGTGCATATTTATTTGGTATCACATTCTGTAGGCTAAGCTATCAAAACCAATATTCTGATTATGCAAATATTTAAGATAGTATCTCTGCTCAGATCTCCCCTATATCCACCTTGTATTAGGGAAGTAGAGTTTAAAAATCAGAAAACCCTACACACACACACACACGTTCTCTTTCCAGACAGGTTTGGGTTTTTATTAGTGTTCCAATTTAACTTACTAAGAGGGTTACAGCTCAATATTAAACACTCATTCTACATCCCATCTACTGTTTTGAATGCTACCCCAGAGTTCTTGTAAGCTTCCAGGCAAAGATTAGTATATACTGTACATCCCACTTACCAAAAAGTAACTCCGTAATTTCTGCATTGACCTTGTTCCCAGTTCTAGTTAAGAGACCTGAAAGTGGGAACAAGGATCATATAAAAGTTAATGAAACTTTAGTTGGCAAGCAGGACACACAGCATCAAACTAACCTCTACTTCTGAGCTCACAATACTTATAATGTAGTACCTCGTCCCATGTCAACTGCTCCCTAGACAAAACAGAACTGAAACATCCAGAAATAATTCACAACACTAGTAGGAATTCCCTTACCAACTTTGGGCCCCTGTTTTGGAAGCAAAAGCTACCTGGCAAAAATACCCTACAAAAAGAAAAACCCCTCCAAAAACCACTCAGACTAAACACCTGAAGGTCACACCTAAAACATGCATTACCAAGGTTGCATGAGAAAGAACAGACCACTAGTTTACTTCCATGAATTTTATTAATCAGAGTAAGCATTAAGATACAATTAGGGAAGCAATCTGCCAAAATACCTCAGAGTACTATTTTAGTAAGGTATAGGGTGATCTAAACAGAGTCACAATTAAAATCAGCAGCCTCAGTTGCCAAACACATCATGGAAAAAGGGTCAGGTTTATAAAAGATTGATAGAAGTTACTGTGTATCAGCTTCAGAGGAATCTAAGACACCGTTTTTGCCAATACCTGAGCTGAGAGAAGACACACAAGAACCTAGGACATGAGAAGCTACCCCACATATACACGGTAAAGTCCTTTTACTTCTAGGCTTAGCATTTTAAAGGGCAGCAGTTTAACACTTCCTTTCTTTAAAAGCATCACAATAAACAGACTCAAGAGGCTTCTTTCAAGTACATTTCCTCAGTAAGACACACAACCTTTTAAGAGTCAGGACAGCATACCAATCACCTCACTTTGAAAACTACTCATGGCTACTAGTACCGGAAACTCAGAGACAAGAGATAGGTCATCTCTAAAAGCTAACAACTCAAGGCTGATTTATTTCATACAGTTTAACTTTTAGATGGCCTCAATTATCTAAGGCAGGCACAGGCTTTGATACTAGAGCTCGTAACACATCCACAGTCTGATCAAACTGGTTAAGCTGGCCTTGCTGATGAGTCATCTTTTGCTCTTCATTCTCCAAGCAGTCTGTCAGAGGAGGAAAACCTCTGGTGTTTTTTATATACCGGCTACAAAGGAGATCTCTGGAAAGGAATTACCTCCTATTGACAGTACTTCAGAATCATTATCTTCATTACTGAGCAGAGCAATTCCAGAATTTCCAAATTCACAGGTCAGCATTCTCCTTAAAAAGACTATGACTGGAGTCAAACATTGTATCTGACTCCTGTTTTTGCAACACTGAAATTGAAACCAAATGAGACACACCCCCAGTGATTAAAGAATTAGCATATAGTATGTGGTCTCTAACAGCTAGACTTTTAATATTACATCTACTACTGAAATAAGATTGCTTGTACTAATTATGTTCATTAAGCATTCAGTGACCTAATAGGCTCACATTTTCCATTATATTGTTTCCAGCATATTCAATATTGTTCTTGAACTCCTTTGGGAGAGGAACTAGGAAATTATTGTGAATCCATCATTTCAAACCTAATATATAAATAAGTCTGCTTTTCAAGGCCAGACAAAATTGTCTTTCAGAACTACAGAAATCTGTATCTATATTCCTCAGTGTTTAATCTCAATCCCCATTCCAGTTACACAGCTGATGAAAACAGGACTGTTAGTCATTTGAAGCAGGATGCAAACATCAGCAGACAACTTACCTGGGCCCATTGCTGTCTTTCCTCTTGGCTGAAACATTGCTTTGTTCTGCTTTTGCACCTCTGTCCATATGCTCACTGGCATTCCTCTCCACAATTTCTCCCTCATCCAGTGCCCTGTGCAAACGGTAATTCACCATCTTCAAAACGATAAAGAGAGCTGCTATCACTGGGCAGTAGACAGCTACTATCATCATGGAAGAAGGAAGAGCCTTTCAAAAAAAGAGTAAGAAAAAGTTAATGAACACCAGGTTCAATATCCATAAGAACACTATCTAGATTTTAACAGTTTGTTTCATAAAGAAAAGATGATCATTCTGAAAGCTACACCACCTACAGCCAGTCTTTGTGTGAAAAATGTTAAGTCTTGCAACACAAAACAGAAACAGTTGGGCTACCGAAGATATTAAATCACCACAGCATTGTGCTAAATAAACTTGTTTGACTGAAGCTTGAGAACCAAGTTCAACTCTCATTCTCTTCTTCCATGTTTTTGAAATGCAAGACCTAGACTAGGAAACTTAGAATTAGCATATGTGACACCCAACATTTTTGATTAACTGTTATGAGTAAAAAAAGATTGGAAGATTTTAAGCACTTGAAAAATCAACCAAGCATGGGGCGAGATCTTATTTCAGGGCTAGTACACAGCACCAAATCCGTTTCAGAAAAACTTGATGCAAGTTTGACAGCATGGCTGGATGGGAGAAAACCTCCTTAGATACCAAACACTGGTGTTTTGACTTCGCTTGTCAGCTTCCAAACAGCTACTGCTGCATGAAAAGACACTGATCAGTCACACAAGCCAAACTGTTTCCTACTTGCATACATAAAGAGGCTGCTTACATGTGTGACTCACACACTGCGCAGTAGAACACAACCTGCAAGACCACAGGCAGCAAAGATTTGTGCTAGATCACTGTATGCCCATGGAAAGGTAGCCAATGCATGTTCTGAAGAAAATTTTTCATCTGCATGAAAAGCAGCCAGAAGCCACATAAAATAAAAAACCCTCAGTCCTGAATTCAACATTTGAAATTCCAGTCTAAGTTAAGAGTTGCCATGCAACTCCTGCAGAGGTAAATAAGGCTTTTAGAGATCAATCACTTCAGCAATAGGTATTGATGAAGTCCAGCCTGACAGCCACTTAGAAGTGTTCAAAGTACTGGTTAAACTTCAAATTTCACTTCAATGCTTTCATCCCTCTAAAACATACTTTATTTGTGTTTTTAAATTTTGCCATTACCCTAGACAGTGACTAAACAAAATGAGTATTAAGTCTCAGTATTCATCCAAAAATAGACAATTTCTTTTATGAAAACAACAAAAGTTTAGGTTCTGAAGTATTTCACTGCACCACTATCCTTTACCCTGCTCATGGTATAGTTTGAGATATACCTCCAAAATACAAAAATACATACAGACATATGACAATCAGAATTAAACATCTGATATCCAGCTTGAACTGTCTTTTTTAGACCTCATGGCTGAAGGACAATTCCAGCTCATTTTCATACCTCCCTAGAGAGACCATGGGAAGAGAAGAGTCATCATTGATAAAGAAGTCCCAGGAATATCTTGCAGAGTCAAAACAATAATCAGAGAAGAAGACAGTGATGCCTCTCTAACCAGTGCATAGAAACATTCTGAGTCATTTAAAATTGATTGGCTGACAACATAGTGTAACATTATGCAATGTAACAATCTCCTACTTACAATTATTCTCCTGAATCTTAGAAGGATTTTAAGTAGCACAACCTAACCACAGTAGTCAGCCAAACAATTTTAAGGGACTTAACCTAGTCATATGTGCTGAAGAGAGAGGCCTCCTTTTTCTCTACTCATTTTCCCCTTCTGACTCTTCAAGATGTCCCTGGAACTTTATCACCATGATGACTCTTCATAACCTAGCAAAGTATTCCTCCAAAACAAGTCAAGTCTGACAACCATCATCAACACCTACCTTTTCCTCCAAAACAAATTAAGTCAACACTGACTATAACATTTGAAGTAGGCCAGGCAAACTGAGCTTAAGTTTGCTAAGTTTCATTTTGCATGCTGATCTGCATAACATCATGATAAAGAGAGATTCACTCACCAGGCACCAACTAAGGAAGAAACCAAGCTACTTAAAACCAGCATCAATAAGCAAACGCGATCCACAATGATATGGCATCCCTACAATCCCTGAAGCCATGCTACAATAGCTTCCTCAAGAAATTAGGTGCTTCTACTTCCAAAAACTTTACAGTCAGCTCCCTGCAGGCAAGGGCCAGCCTGTTAACTTCAGAAAAACTCACGAGCTTCCCATACCTGCTAGGCAGTCTGCACCAATCACATATGGCTTGAACCTTCCTCTCCTTTACAATACCCAGTGTTCAGAAGTCATTGCCAGAAGAGTCAGACTAAGGCCAGGTAACAAAAGCTACAGTTACTATTTAAAAAACATGCCTGTAACTTTTCTGTCTAAAGAGCTCATCAATTTTTCCCCTCTACTCTGTCAGCAGTGAGGTCATATTATATCCAGTTTATCTTTCAAAATCTACACATCCGGTTTTTCAAAGGAAAGCTTTAAGAGTAAACACAAGAAAAAAGGCAAAACACCTCGTGTAGCTTGCAGCAAACCTAGCAAGGAATTCAAACTTTTTCATCACATCCTGTTTTCACAGGATTGCAGAAATTTTTTTAAAAAGCTAAGGTAACTGACTACCTTTCCTTCTTGATATTTGTAGTAGTTGCTCATCTCAGAATAGGGCATATATTCTGGAACTAGAAGGCATTTTAGCTAGCTTAGTCTGCCATATGAACACACTTGATGTCAAGTATCATGCTGTGGTGCAGCACTGCTACCCATGGTACCAGCAATTTGTCTGCAGTACAGCCTCAAGAGGAAACTTACTGCAGCCTAAAATAAGCCATTTGCAACTTTTGTTTTACTTAGCCAAACTTAGAAGTACTCAACATAAATTTGGGGTCTTCTCCCCACAAAACAAAGTAAGTTAAAGTGAGATTACCATTTCCAACTGTGCTCAGCATTTTACCACATTCGAGGAGAGACGTGTTTTTCATCAGCTTCCTAAGACCTAAGACCTTCAAGACTGGAACACAAATCTAAGTCATATCAATTTCCCACTAGATTACATCTTAGCAATATCAAAATAATTTCAAATACTAAAGCATTTTAAATGAGCCCAGCACACAAACTCTCAGGCTAGAGCTTGTTAGTAGACACCAGTTGGCCACAAGGCTACAGCCTCAACAGCATTTCAGAGAACATGCCTTTTTACTGGCACACTTCTACTCACTTACATTAGCACCAAAAGAAAACATACTCCACAGCACTCATCACAACTGAAAATCTTGTACAATATTAAGTGCTACATAGAACAGTATAAAAATTGTGTACTTTTAATTACGTTCTGTTGAAAACTTCAGTTATCTAATGATTGAACAAACCCAACTATTAGATAAACTCCTACCCAAAATTATTTCCCTGAGTCTTAAAGGGACACTAAGTAATCCTGTCAAATATGGGGGGCAGAGGGAAGGACACTGATTTTCTACCACCTTTTCTACAAGTTACTGTCCAAATTTAAATCTTTCAAGTCAACTTATTAAATGCAAGATATATATACAGACAAAGGTAAGATACAGGAATGCATAGTTAAGGAGGACTATCTCTTCTGAAACACCTTGGCTGTTAAATCAGCTCACTTGTATCACAACACACCTTTTCTAAAGGAGAAGGTAGAAAAAGGTTTAAGCACTCCTAGGTTCCAATGGTCAACATAGAAAAGAAAGTTCTTACTAGCAGTTACAGCACTAAAATATTTCCATTCAAATTACAGAAGGTCACTGTATCTTGAATGTTTCCAGTACACTGGAATGTGCCAGGAACCAGAGGAAACTTCATTGATCACAGACTGTACAACATCCTTATGAGGAAACTAACACTATATGGATCCTACCTAATCTGATTACCTAGCTTTAGCTAGGCCCTACAGATATAATGAAAATTCCAGATGATTTTCAAAAAAGAAATGCATTGCTATGAGTATTTCCAACAGCTAATAGCTAGGTTTTCAAAAATCAAACCAGACTGCAAATCCCTGCATGAAAGTGTTATCAACTACACATTAAGATGTCATCTTGTAACAAGACTTAGAAGTACATATGTTTTCAACCCAGTATTTTATAGAAACAATTTTACTGGAGAAAGGATAGACCACGAAACAACAGACATAGTTTTGTCCTCATCTCTCATTTATGGACAATCAGAGCCCTTAAGAACTGCCGTCATCTGGAAGAAAGTCCAGCTGCAAGTTATCTAGCTTTTGCCTGAAATCTCAAAGCCTACAACCAAAACTTGAGTAGCCAAGAAACTAGAAGCATCTTAGAACAATATAGCATACATGGGATTGCTATCACAGACTGAATTTCAGTTATTTAAAATCTTAGTTTAAGAAACAGGACATATTTCAGAAACTTCAGTGGCAAAAACTTCCATGTGAAGCTACATTTATATGACCTACTTCTATAACTATGTATACAAGTCAATAAATGAAATGAACTGTTGTCTAAACGAGCTCGACTTTGACAGACAAGTTCCGTAGGTACATATGAGCCCATCACCCCAAGCAAGGTACAGTCCTGGCTCCTCTTCAGTCACTGGCAGAATTCCACAAGTGCCAGAGCCAAGACTTCACCCCCTCATGCGCACGTGGTGGGGCTGAAACAGCATTCCGACTAGGGGAAGCACTTTGGCAGCCTCCTCTCTTTCCCCTCCCCCCTGCAACACTGATGCGTAACACTGGCCTCTGCATTCAGGGTATTTTTTTCAACTCTTACCACTAGATTTCACAAAGTGATTGGACAGCTTCCCCATAGAGAAAGCACACTTTCTTCTCCCAATTTCAATTCTGCATTAGAGTAAAAGCAGGGATCAGCTCATGCAACAGAAAGGCACATCAACAAGCACAGTTGAGTCTGTTAGTGAATACAAATACGCAAACAGGATAGATTTAACTAGTCTAGAAAGTAGAATTTTTGTACATGTACTGCCAAGCCACAAATCCAAGAACAGAGGTTCAAGCAGCTTCCCTAAAGCAGGCATATCTTGCTCCAGACCCCAGTTCCTTCATTATCTACACATCTATTTTTGCCCCATTTTCAACAAGCGCAGTTTAAGTGTATAAATACACAAGAAGAAGTATCCAGATTGGCAAAATAGGTACATTTAGGTATACATCTGTCATCTTCACACAGGTACAACACTCACTTGCATGTGCTTAAGCTCAGAAGGCAGATGAGGGACCAAGGACTAAAGGCTGGTCATTGAATTCTAATGCTAATTTTTTCAGTAGGTTTGTACCACACATTAAATCCATCAACCCTAACAGCACGGGCATACACACACAAAGGAACACACATATTTATGGCATCACTTGCTGACCACAACTATTACCAGATTGCATTCTGAAAATACCAGATTAACAAAACAAATGCACAGATAAAAAGAGTAGTAATGTTGGGTGCACTAAACCAAGTCTTAAAACAGTAAGTGCACCTAAATTCCCATACTGTATTCCTGTTGGATGCTAAATAACATCTGGGGGAAAAAAAGTGATTAGCCTACTGCTAAATGCATTCAGCCTTGAGAGTCAGCTGCAAGCAAAGTTCTTAGGGGATACTTCTGTTTTTGTTGCCATAAAACAACTTAGAAAAAACTAGTTATTGCTCATCCAATGCATAAAAACAATGCTATAATCTTGCAATTCTTTACATAAGAAAGTTTTATAAGTAACATAAAACCTGTCAGTAGTCTGTCTTTCTATATACCTTGATTTTTTAAACACACAGGGTTGTCTGCCAGCAACAAGTCACTTGAAGCTAGCTTAGAAACTCCCTCCTACACACCAGTGAGCCATGCTCAGAATTCAGATTACAATTACCTAAGACTTTTTAAGCAAGTTCTGCTTATTTATGTATGTCAAACAGCAATGCAACTCTTATTGCTTTTTTATCTGAAAAAGAGCTTAAGAGATGCTAAAGAGCTAAGCTGACCAACACAGTTCTGCCTGTTTAGTTTATGTCTAGACAACACTTAAACTGTAGAGGGTGGAAAGAGGGAAAACAGCCAAATATGATTCAATCTCCTTTAACTTGTGACTAATCTCCCTACTTATTCTCAGGGAAGTTGGCACTTGTTGCATCTTTAACTTGTCCAGAGCCATGAAGCAAGAGAATTTCCCTGACCTCAACAAAACCCAAAGCAGCTTACTGCTGTCTGTCTTTTCCCTTTACACAGGAAAAAGTGCTTAAGCAACACTGAAGTTTTCCCCATTGTACAGGTAACTGAAGCTTACCTACTGCTTTAAGAGCAGCAGGAGAGTCAAATGTTGGTCCAGATTTACCATTTGTCAATAGACTATGTGCAATATAGATTAGTCCCCTTTCAAAAGTCTCCTGTACATGCAGGATACAGTTGTCCCCACAGGTGTATTCAGCCTTCTCAGCAAGGCAGTACTAATTAAATAGACTGCTCTGTCAAATAAAAAAAGCAGTACTTTTCGAAAAAAATTGTAAAGCCGTATTTGAAACCAAAAGGTGTCTCCTCTTCCCATATTCTGCAGAACTTTCAATAGATAGATTCATAGTTCTCATACAAAGTATCTGCTTAGTTAAGTTTTATCTAGCTGTTCTCACGTAACTTCATTTTAAAAGCAATTTGTCTCAGCCTTTAGTTTCACTACCAGGAGCCCAGAAGTTTTCAAATAAAAAGCATTAGAGCTGCCTTTTCCAAGACACTGTAGTATAAATTAAAAACCATAGAGTTGTAACCTCCTTTCCCACATTAGCTATTTCTTAGTATGAAGTGTCTCATACTGCAGCCCTACAAACTGCTTTTAAACAAAGCAAAGGCCTGACCTCAGAGCTCTCAACTTCTGCAACTGCACTTGCATATGATTTTATCTCCAACATTTCAATCACTAACTAAATTTTCACAAGGCAACTCCTACTTTACGTTGTCACAGCATCTGGCAATCTTGCAAATGATGTTCTACCTCATGCACACAACTGGTCAAAACACACTATTATGATCACACTTCTCTACTGAAAAAAACAAAGTAAACTATTAGCATTTCGTAAGTTAAACACAGCTTACCCAGGGCAAAAAACTACTGGCCAACAGGAAACCGCCCCCTTTTCTTGTAACTGATCACACCTTCCTCTGTGTGTTCCCAAGTCCAAATGTCAAGAAAGTTTCCAGGTTTAAAGGTTAGTATTTTAACAGCTTCGATTGAATGTACAAAGATATATAGGACAGGAACTCTCGCAAACCAAGTACACTGAAATCTGGACACAAACAAAAAAAACCAGACTAACTTCTTGTCACTAACACGCTATCCACATACACTGCCAGCCAGCACACCACGCTACATGCAAATAAAACTTCTAGGTTATGGAACCACATCCCTCCACCAGACTCAAAAGTCAGAAACTGATACTGCTGCCAGCCAGAAACACTGGTTAAATCTGACACCTCCTGTAGAAACTGCTTTTTACTGACCTACCAGATGATCAGCAGCGGAAGCTGCCAGAGGTATTTCCAATTTTGTAGAAAAGTAAACAGAAAAACGAAGGCAAACTGCCAGCGCCTAGAGCCCCGCCGCGCCCCGAGAGCGCCCACCCAGAGATTCCCAGTAACGGGTGGGTGCTCCCGAAACGCCGCAGCCCCGACCGCGGGGCCCGGGCCCGCCCGCAGCGGAGCGGGGGCCCGGCCGCAGGGCCCGGGGCCGCTCGCGGGGCCGCGCCGCGGGCAGGGGGCGCGCGCGCGGCGGCCCCTCCCGGCCCTCCCCCCCACTCCGGGCCCCGCAAGGCCCGGCCGACCCCCGGCACAGGCCGGGTCTGCGCTCACCATGTACAGGGTGAAGGGGAAGCCGAGCAGGAAGAGCCACAGGTAGAGGTGCAGCGCGTTGACCCCCGCGCCCTGGTGCGGGTCCTGGTACCAGCCGCCGCTCAGCGCCGCCCACACGCCCTGGCGCAGGATCTGCAGCACCTGGGAGCCCATGGCGGCCCCGCTCCGCCGCGCCGGCCCCGCTCTATCCGCCCTGCGAGCCCGGGCAGAGCCGCGCACCGCCCGCGCTCCGCGACAGCCGCAACCGCCGCCGCCGCCGCCCCAGCAACGCCGCCGCCATCTTATGTCCGGGCCCGGGCCGCCCGCCCGCCCCCGCGCCGCCGACGGACCGGCGGCCCTTGCGGCAGGGGACGCGCGCCGCCGCCGCCGGGGGGCAGAGCTGCGCCTGCGCGCGGCCTGCCCGCAGCCCCGCCCCCGCCTGCCCGGCGCAGCGCCCCCTGGCGGCCTGGGACGGCCCCCAGCGGAGGTCCCGCCTTCCCCCCCGCAGCGGCCCGCGGGAGTCCCGCCTGCTGAGGGTGCTGGGGAACGTGGAGACACGCTCTTCAGAAATGGGACCTTCTTTGGAACAGTTACCGAATCAGTTCGGTGGGAAAAAACTCTGAGATCATCGAGTCCGAGCTACGACCACCGTATCAACCACACCATGGCATTATCACATCCAGTCTTTCTCTGAAGGCCTCCAGACACGGTGACTCCACCACTGCCCTGGGCACCCCATTCCAGTCAAATCGCCCTTTCTGTGAAGAAATTCTTCCTGATGCCCAACCTAAACCTAAATACTGCAGGAATGGGTGCAGATGCACTTCAGCTATGCCATCTCCAGGCTCACCTCTGAGGAGCCCAGTCTAAAGTCCTTTCCCCTTCAAACCTCCTTTCTTTCCCCCTCCCAGGGCTGGACTCCTAGCAAAGTGCTGCACCCTCGCCTTGCAGGAGGACAAGAAGACATTTGTCTAGCATACACTTTTAAGGCTCCAAATTTACAGCAAGATAATAACATCACCATTTTTTGAGCCCCCCCCCATCCCCCCATTTACTCTCAAAGCAATGTTACCAAAACCCTGGCTTGTCTATCCCCACCACAGGATTAGCTGTAGGTTGCAACACCTGAAAAACCAGAACCATTACAGTTTACAGAGAGAAAACAATACAGGCCACGGGTGCACCACAAGTCTCTCACAGATTTAAATTTTGACTTCCACATTCACCTATCTGTAGAGGTCAGCAGTTCTCATCAAGTGCCAGCTTTTCAAGCTTTCCCCTTAGACATGCACATCCCAAAAGCCACATGTTATTTAGAAAGGGACAGATTAGGGAAGGGATTTAGACAGTGCTCTCAAGAAGGGTTGAGAGGAATCCTTTTCCTACAAACACTATGGGCTCCAAAGATCATGGGACTGGAATACCTCTCAAGGAAAGGCTGAGGGAACTGGGCCTGTTCAACCTCAAGAAGAGATGACTGAGAGGGGACTTCATCATTGTCCATAAGTACCTGAAGGGAGAGTGTCAAAGAAAGGAGCCAGGTTTTTATCTGAGGTAGCAGGCAATAGAACAAGAAACAGCAGACAGAAATGCACAGGAAGTTCCAGTGGAACATGAGGAACAACTTCTTTCCTGTGCAGGTCACCACACACTGAAGCACAATGTCCAGAGAGGTTGCAGAGTCTCCCTGATACTCATGATATGTCTGGATGCAATCTTCTGCCATGTGCTCTAGGAGGTTCCTGATTGAGCAGGGAGGTTGGACCAGATGACCCACTGTAGGGATCTCTTCCAACCTGACCCATTCTGTGACTCTAGGTCTCCACTGCAGAAAATCTGCAGGAATGAAATAACCCAAGCACTCAGCCATGACTCATGATGAGCATGCATTTGGGCTGGTATTTTCAAGAGGCTGCATTAATTCCTCAGTCTCCGCTGTCTCCCTGACAGTTAGTGAGCCAATGGCAGCATTTGGCTATTCTTGGAAAACCAGAAGACAGAAGTTACTGACTCAAAGCAAATGTATTTCATCTATTTTTTGTTTCCCCAGTGAGAAAGTAGGGAGAAGGGATGAACACAAAGCCTCATCCACATTAGCTTTCTCCTCAGTATAAAAGAAATAAACCTTTTTTGGATAGTGCATTTTCAAATACAAATCTGGGAGCAGTATTTTATGAAAGAGCATTTTTTCACTCTGTCAAACAGGATTGAGATATTAAAGGAAATAAAGATGGGGGGAAGGGAAAGAATCAACAGTGAAAAACTACAGAGGATTATCATGGAGGGGGGAAGTCCCTTTATCCTTTTGCATTAAAGCCAAGCATGATGAGCCTCACCAGTTATATTATGCTTAGAAAAAAAAGTGTTTCAGCCACAATATTTGCCAAAATACAGTTAAAAACCAAAATTTTAATACAGTTGTTGAAAGATGAATTTGTTAGATTGTGTTATCCATACATATACTTTGATTCTGTGATGATCAGGATTGTGAAGCGTTAGATCTTTCAGCAGCTGTTGTATCAATGTTACATAAAAGCTGTTCACCTTCACAAAGGGAGGCAAGAGGGATAACATTCATTAATAACATGTCTGAAGGCTATGGTAAATGCTTTAGAAACCTTTATGCTCCTGTTTAGGAGCCCTTGATCAAATTTGGACAGATTAGCCTCAGCATCCTAGTAATGATTCTTATTTAACAGTGCCTCTGTGTAAGAGGCTGAATGCAGTGGAAGCATCCAGCTGTTTCCCCAGCCCCACTCCTAGAAGTTGTTGGACCAGTGGGCCAGTCATGTTATAAAGAGGGGTATTGGATGGGGGTGGGGAGGGATGGGGGTGTGGAAGTTAGAAGCAAAAAATAAACAGAGGAACCAAAATATCATATATATATACATAAAATACAAATAAAATTACAGACTCAACTCTGATCCAAAACAGCATAACCTAGCTTCACACAGATAGCCCTGTCCAAGTGCACATCATCATGGGAGGGTCTAGTCTGCATCCAGTAAAATAAAGAAGAGATTATCACATGCTTGAGAGGACAATTAAGATTTCATTGTTTAGCTATTTAAATACAGACAGATTGAAAACATTAGGACACAAGAGGGGGAAATAATATTTTTGGAATCCATCCATGCCCAAAAGTAAAATTGATTTAAAGTCCAGTTGCAGGCATCGTTAACAAGGCAAGAAAAAAAGAAATTATTAGCTTTCATGAGGGAACAAACAATTGACACCTTGATAGAAAGCAACAGCAGTAAATTCAATCTGTACATGCCAACAAATAAGGAGTTTATCATCTGCACTGTACTTTAGCCTTACAGTTTTTCTTCAGGATGGGTACAGGAAAAATAGTTTGGTCTAGAAAAAACAGCATGACAATTTATTAGATAAAATATTTAAGAGATTGAGCATTAAATCAAGTGATTTGAGACCAACCAACATGTGATATTGCAAGAAGAGGAAGTTAATCAAAACAGTAATAAAGCACTGTAATTTGTCACAAAAATGCTTCAACACATTGCTATTTCTAAGAATAATACTGCGGCATTCTTTGCACCATTAGAAGTACATTAGTATCTCATCCTCTCATTCAGGGAATGAGGTTCTACACTTTCCCTCCAGACATCGTTCACAGGATACCCAAAATTATAATTTTTAAATTAATTATAAAGAGAATTACTAAGTTTTATGAGAACATAACTCATAATTAGGACAAGAGATGAAACAGAAAGTTAAAAAGAATATTTTGTCTAAATTGGACAAAAACTTATGTCCAGAAAAAAAGCTTGTGACTTTCAAAGTGTTTGTTGCAGTAAATCATCACTGTATGATTCCAATCTGTGAGCAGCTAATAAAACAATCAGCAGAAAACAAGAAAATCACTGATTTACACACTTTACAGTTATGAGGGGTAGCACTTCTCTCTGTGCTGGATAAAGTATCTATTCTTAGATGATGGTTGACAAACTAGGCCTTGGTTGCTCACTACCAATTTTTGTATGTCTTCCTATTGATCCCTTGACTTAGGATTTGGAGTTAGGCACCAGCATTTCAACCCCACTTTTTGCATCCTGCTGACACAGACTACTCTGTGAATTGCATGCAGTAACCAAAGCAACACATTTGCCTAAAAAAAAAAAAAATCAATTTTGTATGTAACTGATCAATCTAGGAGAAAAGTGCACCTACTATTTGCTTTTCTGAAGAAACAACAGTAAAATGTGTACTTGCTACCAAGGAACTAAACCTTTGTATAATTTTATATCTTGACTTTTTTCCCCTACCATTCCCTATAATTACAACCACGTTAGCAAATGTTTTATATGAATTTGAAACATTGTCATGAAGAGCAGTGATGTGTTTTATTCTCTCACCTTATATGAGAATTAAAAAGGAAACTTATTTCTAAGGGTGAGAGAATGCAGAAAGTCATTCTACAATAATATTTGCTACCCTAATTTCACTGTAAGATAGCTAGTTTTCTTATAAAGCCTGTCAGGAAGTTGTTCTAGGTTAACTTTTAATTACAGTAGAGTGGTTTTTAGCAACTACAGGACTCTACTTAACATGTTGCCATGACATCAGCAGCAGACAGCAGCCTATCTGCTATTTGCACAGGTTTTAAACAAACTTCTAAGCATAAACCAGATCCTCTCACAAACCTCACTTCATTTCTAGAAGCCACGCAAGATTGAGCCTTGCATATTAAGGGATTGCTGTGAAATTACTTCACAAAATCTAGCCCTATATATTATCCTGACTCCCAGCCAGAATACAGCCTTTAGAAACAACACAAAAAATATGCCTATTCTTTAGTGTTTTACTACAGGCCAGAAAGGGATTTACTAGCAGAAAGGTTCCATAACAGGAGACATCCACTCTGTGTTGTACTAGCATAGACCGTAGACATCATATCCAGCAGCCCCAGCTTTATAGCAGGCTACTCTCCACACCTGCTTTATTGCAGAGAGCCACACCACCAATCACACTCCCAGATCCACCTGTGCTTTCAGGATACACCCTTCCCAGCATCTTGTAGGAAAGCCAAACTATTCCCTCTCAGTGTGGGAGAACATTGGTCTTACCCTCACAATAGAAGAAAGAGGAAAAAAAAGGTTTAGGTTTGGTTTGTTGGGGTTTTTAAAATGTCTTTTTCAACTATCACTGACTAATGCATCCCTTCATATTACCTTACAGTGCTACTGAGGAGGAGATAAGTCACTGGGAGG